AACCTACTGCAAGGAATACAAGCGAGAGGGATTAACAGAAAACAAAGTTGCAAAATCATATAGATATCCAGATAGTAATGTACGAATCAGAGAGCTAAAATGCACAAAGATTCCATTCAAATTAGAGCAAAGCAGTGAACTTGTGTGCCAATGTTATCGCCCTCAGGCCTCACTCACACAACATTCAATGTCGCTTACGTATGTCTGGCGCCCAACGCCCAACCTACTCTCCCTAGCTTATCTTGCCTATGTACATTTACAACAGGATCACTCCGACGTTGAAGATCAATGTACATGACGTCAACACCAATGTTGACCTTCCATTTATACCAACTACGTTCTCTCTCCTCCCCTCGTTAGACCTTGACCACCCACTCATGTGCCTCCTACGAGAAGACCCCTTTCGCCAATCACCCACATGCGGCCCTGCAGCCCAGCTATGGCTGTCGTGCGCCCGCTTCCCTACAGTGCCCCTGCCACCTCATAGCGCCCGAGTTGTCGGAGGGCACGGTGTCCCGGATCTCCACGTTTAACCAGGCTCACCCTAATCGTCGACCATCCATCTCGGCGTTGTGCAAGGCACATTCCCATTCCAGTCGTGGTAGTGCATTAGTATTGCACATCTTGCCCTCAGACTAGTCCGGCGGGCGCATTCACAGCAAAAAGGGTGGGTGAGTCACTGAACTTTCCATTGGTTCATGCAGGCTAAATGCCCTACTGTACAGCAGAGCACGACCGACTTGTGGCCGTGGTAATCGCCATGCTCGCCCAAGGACGCGACAATGAAAACTTGGCGCAGTCTTTTCCACTGCACGCCAAGTCTTGATAGTCGGGTTATGAGATAGGCAGAGATGCTGTAGAAATTTGAAAAGAAGAAGGAAAGAAAAATAAAATAAAGGGAAAGGAGAAAATGAAAACGGAAATCTTACGTTTCATGGTTGCATCCGAATTCGGACCGTTACTTTTATGATGTCAAATCAAACGGCCCATAGTTCTAGTGGTGCTTTTATTCAGTCTTTACGGATTTTAGTTCCCCGCCCAGTCACTTCGCGAAGGAACAAACGATCCGAGTTTCGAATTATGATTCGAAAGCGGGTGGCCTAGACTGGTCGGCCCATCGCATTTCGATCAGGCGCAACCTACTAAATGTCGGGAAGGACCCCTAAGGAGGGGCGACCTGTGACCGCTTTGGTAGAAGGTCTATCACCCCCTAACACAAGGTCATAAACCCCCTCCTTGCCATCAGACACGGGTACTAACTAGGAGTAGTCTGATGGCCCTTCTTAAAGGAAGGGAAAAAATCGGTCGATGTCATTATGGGACCACCGCGTGCCACCCCACTGTCTTTTCAAACTTGAAACTGAGAAGATAGCAAGGGTAGACCGTAGGAACACGTTCTAGAAGTGACCGCTGGAGTATTTAACAAATATTGAATACTGTTATTTATTTATGTTAAAATTTTATTATAATGAATTGTTTATAACTCAAACTATTATCTTATTTAAAATGGACTCATAAGTCATCGTTTAAAACGCATTGTATTTCGTGATTCTTGAAGTTGTAAAAAGATTGTTGTTAGACCTTCTACGATCGGCCAACAATGTCTGAAGACTTCGTTGCATTCACGAGGTTGCTAACCTGAGATAACATTGTGGTGGTGAAGTACCAGGGAGGTGGCTATTCACGAGAGTGGGTTTCAACGAACGTTAATGCTAAGCTTCAGTCTTTTCAGAAGGGGAGTGGCTATGACGTGCCGTAAAGGACTAGAAAGTTACAGACCCGACTGCTGAAGGTTGGTGACCCGCTGGTCCTTAGCATCGGAAGAGGATCCATGATCACGACGATCCTCAATTTTGACAGGGATGTTGCTAAGCTAAAGATTAACGTTGAGGATAATAGAGTATCTGAAATGCGGCAAGATCAGAAGCTGCAGACGACAATTACTGAGGCAAGAAACCAGTCACAGAGAAGGCTTCGGTGTGATCACGTTACCGCCCATTATTGTGACATGTGGTTCCCGAAGCAAGTCATGACCCTTGAGATGTGATGTATGGCTAAGATGTGCACGACAGAGGAATCCAGAGCAAGGAGGCTAAAAAAAAAAAAAAGTTAAGGGAGGATTGACGACGCTGAGGACCCAATGGGAGACCTCATGCCCTATAAGTCCTGGGACCAGGAATAAATCAACGGAGAGACGGTCGACAAAGTATTGCCGAAAATTAGTAAAGGCAACCCTCCTTATCAAAGAAAGGGGACCGCCAAGAAAATAATACCCTGAGGCCGAGTGTCGCAGGAAAAAAACACACGTGGTCAACGACACTCCGAAACTTCGTTGAAACTAATTATGAAGTGGAGAACTTTCAACATTTTTGAAGTTCTTTGAAGTCGACTTTCAACGGTTTCAGAAGTGTTGAAAATGTTGAATGCCTCTACATTGAATAAATCTTCAAAATATTCAACGTTTGCCCCTCTGTTTGAGTCTATAGAAATGCTGAAGATTTTGAAGATTATAAAATGGTGAAAATGCTGAAAATTCTGAAGTACACCCCTCCTGTCCGAGTGTGTAGGAACGCTGAAGATTATGAAAATGGTGAAAATGCTGAAGATTCTGAACCCCCCCCCCTTCCTGCCTCCTCCTGTTTTGTTTTTTTAAGGGGAGGGGGTTCAATATCTTCAACATTTTCACCACTTCATAATTTTCAGAATCATCAGCATCTAACCCCTTATCTAAGTGGATAGAAACTCTGAAGATTTTGAAGATTTTGAAGTGGTGAAGATTCTGAAAATTCTGAAGTACACCCCTCTCTATCCGAGTGTGTAGAACGCTGAAAATTCTGAAAATTCTGAAGTGGTGCAAACGCCGAAGATTCAGACCCCCCTCCCATGCCTCCTCCTCTAAGGTGGGGGGGGTTAAAAAATCTTCAGCGTTTTCATCACTGCAAATTTTTCAGAATCTTCAGCGTTCGTTCCCTTCTATGGGTATTTAGAAATGTTGAAGATTCTGAAAATTCTGAAGTGGTGAAGATGCCGAAGACTCTGAACTACACCCCCTTTCGTCCGAATATGTAAGAATGCTGACAATTATGAAAATTATGAAGTGGTGAAAAAGTTGAAGATTATGACCCCCCCTCTCTCTAAGCTTGTAAAAAGGCTGAAGTTTTTTAACATTATGAAGTGGTGAATCCATTGAAGACGTTGAACCGACCTCATGTCTCTAGGCTTGTACCTCCCCTGTCCGAGTCTTTAAAATGTTGCAGTACACCTCCTCTGTTCGATTGTTTATATCCGAGTGTGTATGAACGGTGGACGCACTTTATGTACACCCCCCTTGTCCGAGTGTGTAAGAACGCTGAAGATTCTAAAAATTATGAAGTGGTCAAAATGTTGAAGATTCTGACCCCCCCCCCGCCCCTCCCCCCGTGCCTCCGCCTGTTTTGTTTATTAAAGGGGAGGGGGTTCAGAATCTTCGACGTTTTCACCACTTCAGAATCTTCAGCGTGTACCCCTCTATCTAAGTGTAGAGAAACGTTGAGAATTCTGAAAATTCTGAAGTGGTGAAGATGCTGAAAATTCTACAGTACACCCCCCTTTATTCGAGTGTGTGGAACGCTGAAGATTTTGAAAATTATGAAGTGGTGAAAACGTTGAAGATTCTGACCCCCCCCCCGATACCTACCCCTGTGAGGTTGGGGGGGAGTTCAGGATCTTCAGCGTTTTCACCACTTCAAAATTTTCAGAATTTTCAGCGCTCGTCCCCTTGTATGAGTGTGTAATAATGTTGAAGATTCTGAAGATTCTGAAGTGGTGAATATGCTGAAAACTCTTAACTACACCCCCTTTCGTCCGAGTATGTTGGAACGCTGAAAATTCTAAAAATTATGAAGTGGTGAAAAGGTTGAAGATTTTGAACCCCCCCCCCTCTCTAGGCTTGTAAAACTGCTGAATTGTTTTAGCTTTCTAAAGTGGTGAATCCATTGACGACGTTGAACCGACCCCACGTCTTTAGGCTTGTACCTCCCCTGTCCGAGTCTTCGAAATGTTAGAGTACACCTCCCCTGTTCGAGTGTTTAATATGTCCGAGTGTGTATGAACGTTGAACGCACTTTATGTACACGCTGAATATTAGAGGACCCGTTAACCATCTTTCATCATGTGCCTGTCCACCGTGCCATATTTTCATCCTTCCTCCCCTCCATTGGGCAAACCCTCTCTCTCTCTCTCTCTCTCTCTCTCTCCC